CTTTTTTAAAGATGGGGACCACATTGGCTATCTTCCAATCATCTGGCACCTGGCCCGAGCACCATGAGCGCTCGTAAAGCCATGCCAAGGGCCCTGCAATAACCCCTGCTAGCTCCCTCAACACCCTGGGGTGGAGAGCATCTGGACCCGCTGATGTCAAAAGAGTCGAGAAAATGCCATTCAAAGGGATAGTTCAGTCATTTTATTAATACTATTTTCAAGTATAAAAAGATACTGATCTCTGAAAAAGTATAGATTTTGTCCAGAATCACCCACTCATAGTAATTTCAAAGTGTTTACAAGCACATTATTTATGTATCTACAAAGCATTTATGAATATTTGAAAAGGACAGTTCTGCACAATTATTTTTAGCTCTTAAGGGAGTAGGAAGAAACTGATTTGTTCTGAAATATCCTTTTCACTTTCTAAAATATTCAATATTACATATATACAAAACACAAGCTACCATAATATAAACATTCTAGGTGGCTAGAATTCAATGCTGTGTTAAGTATGTTTTTCAAGGTAACTTCCTGTTTTTGGCTTTTAAAGAAATCAATACACCTTCCTTTTAAGTATCATGACTTGAAGCCAATTCTGTGGTCAAGGTTTTAAGAGTTCATCCAAAATTTTCATGGAAGATTCATACAGGATTCTGAAAACACAAATAAATCAGTGAGCAGTAGATAGACAGGCAATAGATATACATATTAATGCTTTTCAACATATTGCAACTTTTAGTATCTTTGAAAAGCTATTCATTACTAGTTTACGGAATTAAATATCTCTCTATTAGATTGCACCAAAAATGACGAGATTTTTTCCAAAATTTTCATTTCTGCTTGATTTCCTGTAGCTATGCTGTAGTATATAACCATTTAGGTTCTTGTCTTTCAGAATTAATAAAAAGTTTTCCCTTATAAATCAGCATTAAATAATACACATGATCTTACTGGTTCTCTGCTTTCAAAGGGGAAATGGAAGCACAATTATCATATCAATTTCAATATATTAAAATATTCTTTATATGTAAACCACTGTTCATTTTAATTATCTGCATATTACTTATCTCAGGGGTGGACAATTATTTGGGCCTTCAGGCACATGACTTGTGAGGAGAGGCTGAGGGAACTGGGCTTACTACCAGTGATCCTGGATTTCTCCGTTTAAAAATCCCAAATTCTCTTATTTAAAAACCCAAAATCCACGTTTCCATAATTAAAATGAAACACCAGGTATCAGGTGAACACAATGTTTTACTGATCTATTTACAGTTCTAAAGCAATTTGGAATCCTACTGGTGCCTTAACCATTATAATAACTAGCGAATTGCCCATCAAGAATGACGGGGGGGGGTGCAGGGTGGGGACAGAGCACTGCCACCCACCACCCTGTGCCGCTGCTGCCTCCCAGGAGCAGCGGGAGGGAAGTTTGCACACTGCCACCCACCAGCCCATGATGCCACCACTCCACATCCAGGTGTGCATCCCCCCCCCACATCCAGCCCTGTGCCCCCCCGCTCCACATCAGTCCCACGCTACCCCCTCCCCCGGCCCTCTGCCACCTCCCAGGAACAAGGGGGTGGGAAGCTTGCACGTGGCCGGATGTAACATGGAGGCAGCATGGGTCAGTGGGTGGGCCCCCTACCCCTGCTCCTGGGAGGTGGCATGGGGTGGTGGGACTCTGTCCCTGTTCACCATTTTTGATGCAGCACTGGCTGGAGCCACGCCATGCCATCAGCCACATCTCCCAAGAGCTTTAGGGACAGACAGACAGACACACAGACAGACGGACTACGCCCTTTTATATTTACACACACACACATATAAAAATTCTCTATATATTAATTTTAAATACCTATATATTTTGGCATTGATTTTGCGGGTTTTTGATCATGGACAATCAGAGCTCTACCTGGCCACTTTGCTCACCAGGATGAGGGTTCAGCTGCAGCTGTTCCCCCGCTACTCTGAGGCACTGAGCAGCCCTGATATGCTGGTGCCCTGCCCCTGCCATCGGCCCTCACTCCCAAGCAATAGCCCCCCATCCCTGCTGGTGCCCCTCAGTCCTGGCCCACAGTTTCCTGCCCCCCATCCCTGCCAGTGCCCCACATTCTTCTCCTTTAAGAGAGAAAATCCACATTTTCCTGCAGCAAATGGAAAACCTGGATCCCTGCTTATTATCTAAACTCTCAAGAAAGATCCCTGCCTTTTCTGAGCTTTACATTTATTGCACTCTCTCCATGTCCTTGCACTGACTATGCTGTAGATCTCTCATCTCACATACTCTTTGCATATGTATTCTCACAACATTTCACTCATCCTGCTTTAAATTATCCTTAAAACACCACAGGGGGGACATTTGGCTTGTCTCCAAACAGTACTTAATTATTGCAGACTTGACTTCTTGATGGTTGGAATAATCATTTGAAACAAATATTATCACAGCTGTGTGTCCCGGGTATTAATTTCCGAGAATCTGCAACATTAGTTATTTGTAGTACTCTAAATAAGTTATATAAGCAAGGTTTATTCTCTATGCAAGGGCTCCAAACAGCAAATATAAGGGTAATTCAGTCATTTTATTTACTACACTGTTTTGGTTTACATCTCCTCAAGGTCGGACAGAAATGTCCCTTTCAATGAGAATGCAAGAGCACAAAGGTTTCTTTGGGGCCTCATGAAGTACCACAATTTTACTACAGGATACTATTTGAATAATTTTAATATTTATATCTTAAGAGTAATGCATTTGCAAAACTGCATCATGCAATACTAGTAAAATGAAAAATAAGACATTGCTAAGTATGACTTTAAGTTGCCCAAAGCTATTTTTTTTAAAGTAAGTTATACTAAATGCCCTTTACTATTTGGGTTTGTCAGCAGAGAACTGTACACAAATTCAAACAAATTATTGGAAGTTATGTTTAAGTGCAGCTGCAACAAAAAGGCAAGACAGGGCCTGGAAAGACATCTACATGATAACAACATACGGGAAACATTTTCTCAGCACAGATGTTTGCTAGATTTAATAGTGGTGCCCATATATTGAAATGCTAATTAAACTGAACGTAATTTTTTTTCTTATATTCTCCCATTTCATAACTCATTTGCACAATGGAAAAAATGATAATATTCATGTTTAACCTTCAACAGTATAGGTATTTTAGGTATATGAATAATATGAAGGAAGCTGTGAATTCAAGATAAGAATAAATATGAGCAGTTTGTAGAGTAGATTAGTGTGTGCATGCTATTACTCTTTAGAAAATTCGTTCAACCTACAATGTGCTGTCCAGAATTTAAAAAGTGCAGTGAACAGCATATTTTAAACGAGACCCGTAGGACTACAAACTGCTAACTCAGCTGGAGATAGAAAGCTAGATAATAATAATTAGGAAAACTTGTACTCCTGGAAGAGAGTGACCATTCCAGTTTTAAGAGCAGCACCTGAGATACTCCAGCAAACAGGACTTCTACATGTTTATTTCCCACTAGCCAGTTGCCTGTCAAAAAATGATGGGGGAGGAGGCAGAGTGGGCGGGGACAGAGCCCATGGGCCCCCCCCATCTGGGCCCACTCTCCCTTCCTCCTGCTGCATGAGCTCCAGGCCCACTCCCCACTTCCCCACCGCAGCGGCAGAGGGAAGGGAGGAGTGGACTCAGGCCCGATGCAGCAGATGACTGGGCCTGAGCATGGGGAGAAGCTGGGCCGCTGCAGCAGGGGGGCAGAGGGGGAGCAGCAGGCCCAGGCTGACCTGGCAATGGTGTGGGGATGGGAGGGGTGGGCTCAGGGCCGACATGGGGGAAGGGGAGGAGCGGGCCCAGGCCTGACACGGGGAGGAGGCTCACTCCTCCCCTTGCCCCCAGCTACCATGTTGGGCCGGGCTGGGCCAGGCTAGGTCTACAGCCTCCCCCTCCCCTCCCCGCCACAGCAAGCCAGCTTTTCCCCTGGCTTGGCTCGCTCCCCTCCTTCCCGCCATCGGGCCTGGGCCCAGTACTCCCCTGGCCCCACCATCACCGCTAATGCCACAGTGCGCCCTACTCCTCCCCCCCACATTGGGCCTGCTGTGGCAGGCCGGCCTCTCCCCCACTCAGGCCTGCTCCCCCCACCCCCGTTACCTGCAGGGAGCAGGGTGGGGTGGGGGGTCCCCCTTCTGTCCGCTCTGTTGCTGCCACCTCCAGGAAGCAGGACAGGGGGGCGAGGCCAGCACAGCTCTGTCCCCTGTGTCCCCACCATCATGGCTGTGAGCTGCCTTCTGTCAGACTGCTTCTTCGCACTCTGATTGGCTGTTTGTCAGCCAGAGTGTGAATAAAGCATTACGGACGGACAGACAGACTTTTATAATATTAGAATGGTAACACATACAAACTTCTCCTGGCTTATAGCTCAAAATTAAGATGCTGGAACATAATAGGAAACTCCAAGGGAATGTAGTCAAATCCCAAATTAAATCTACCTGGGGATAAGGTCATTTCCCAAGGACTGACATTTTGAAATGATGTATACGGGTATGAAAGTAATAACACTTAAGCTTTGAGAAGAGTTAATGTATTACAGTTGATGTTATATCAGCTCATCTAAACTAATGACCCAAGAACCAGTTTACAGCCAGTTCTAACTAAAGGTATTTTTCAGTTACACAGAATGAGAAAGATGTAATAATTAGAAGAAAAAAGGTATGTAGTTTACAAAAAGAAAGCTCAATGTGATCTAATAAGTCACATGGTAGTCACATAACACAGTGAGAAAACTAGCAGACTACTGGCATTGCTATACTAGAGCAGACCAGAGGTCCAGTATCCTGTACTGCAGTACCAAAAGCTTTTAAGGAAGATGCAAGAACCCTGAACCAAAGTTCCTGGTTAGATTAGGTCTTAAGCATGGGGTTCATGTGTTATTTTAAATCAGGGGTTGGCAATGTTTTTGGGCAGAGTGCCAAAACCACCTGCAACCTCAACTTGTAAGTGCTGGCATGCCAGGGACAGATGGCAGGAGAACTGTGAGGGACCCAATCCTTGTGGCAGTGCAGCTCCCACCCCTTCTACTGTCCACCCCATGGCATGCATGCCAAACAAAATGAGTTCATGCTCTGGCATCTGAGCCAGGGATTCCCTACCTTTTTTAAACCCTTAAAAACCCAAACCAAACAAACCTATGCACTCACTGACAGATACAGCCCAGTTAGGATCCAGCTCAGTCACAGCCCAGGTTCTGGTTGGGCTGCATTTGTGAGTGTGGGGTCAAGCTGTGAGTGAGCCTGGTCTCTATTGGGCAGCAACTTTGCTTGCCATGTCCTGCAAAGGGAGCAGCAGGTTGGCAGTGAACCTGTGACTGGGCTCATGATAGGCTCCTGTCCCCTGGTGGGGTAGGGAAATAGACTCACAAGACTATGTAACCCTCTACTGCCCCTGGCTGAGGAGCATGCTTTCACAGCAACTTTATAGTACTCCTGCTGGAAGGTGCTATGTGTCTGTCCACATCTGGTACCACTATATTACTGTAGTGCTTCAAAGTGCCACAGTAGTGCAAGAGTGATGCTCAGGGATCTGGGTTTTCTGTTTCCCATGGAAAAACGGAGAAAACCATGGATTTCCTGTGTTTATCTGAGAAAATGTGGATTTCCCCTTTCAGCAGGGAAACCTGCAGATTTCCCGCATTTGCAAAGAGCTCCTGTAGGCTGGCAGAGCTCCAGCCTACAAGAGTTGATTGCAAAAAGGGCAGGAAATCCTCAGCCCTGCCCGGAGGGAGAGGGGGAAGGGCAGAGCCTGAGGCTCTGAGTCAGCCAAGGCTGGGCTCAGACTCAGGCTTGCTCGTCTTCACTCCTCACCCCTTGAGATGTGTGGCTTGGGAGATTGCAGGGCAGGGCTGGGGGAGTGGGGAGGGGCGTGCCAGCCCCAGGCAGTACACCTTGGCGTCTCCCTGCCCCCCCACTTCAGCCCACTCCCAGGAGCAGGGCTGGGGGACAAGGCCCACCGGGTGGCCAGCACGCAACCGCCACCACCCTGTGCTGGGTCCAAAAGTGGCAGCAGCGGTGTGCGGTGGTGGCTACGTGCCTGCCAGCTGGTGGGGAAAGGGAGGCTCGCACACAGCAGCTGCCACCACCCCACATTGCCACTTACCTGTGGAGCTGTTTTGCCATGTATAGGAAGGCAGCATGGGGCGTGGCGGTTACCATATGCGAACCCCCCATCCATGGGCACAGCTCTACAGGCAAGTGGCGGTGCAGGGTAGTGGCAGCTGTTGTGTGCAAGCCCCACGCCCGCCAGTACACAGCCATCACCGCTACCACCTCTGTGTTGCCACCGCTTGCCTGTGGAGCTGGATCAGGGTGGTGGCAGCTGTGTGCAGGGGCAGGGGCTTGCACATGGCAGCCACTGCGTGTGAGCTCCCCCCACCAGCCAGCCAACCAGCCAGCTAGGTGGGCAGCATGTATGTGGCCCACACCTATCAGCTGTCACTGCACCACTGCAGCTGTGCCCTACGTTGCTTGCCCATGGAGCTGTGCAGTTGGCTGCAGGAAAGCAGCACAGGGTGCAGCAGTGGCCACTGTGGGAGAACCTCCACAGCCAGCCAGCCAGCTGGCATGTGTGCGGCCCATAGAGGGGCACCCCTGCCCTTACCCCCCAGCCCTGCGCCTGGGAGCAGGCACAGGGGCACACTCCCCACCCCACTTCTCAATCTGCCCCCA